GAAGTACTATCTCAAGTGACCAAAAATGTTTCTTTTATATATACATGTCTAAGTAAATACAATGGACAGTAGAAAGATACAAAAAGCAAAAAAAAAAAAAAAAAAAAAAGTTAAAAGAAAAGCTGTGAAAAAAAAAAGAGGCAATCATTGGTCATCGCCTACAGGCTCTCTAGGTGCGACTTCTATAACCACTAGTTGGTCGCCGACCGCCCGACTAGCTACTTTGTCGTCAAGCACGTATGCCTCCGACTGGTCATCCTCCTAAGGAGGCTCTTGTCCCTCTTCCTCCTCGGCATTATTAGCTTGGGCCATGGAGACAAAGATGTCCTGGTATTCATTCAGGAGGTCAGAACGGTCCATCCCCGGATTCCTCCGTCATAAGCTATAGATGGCTTGTATTACCCAGTCAGCGGCTCTCCTCTCAAGTTCAAGGTTTTGTCGCTTCATCTGTTCAGTTAATGAAGTGACTCGCCCTTGGAGCAACTCGAGATCCACCTCCAGAGCCCTTTTCTGCTTCTCAGAAGGTTTCCCACAGTCGAGTTCTATCCTCCTTTGCCTTCCTAGCACGCTTAGAGTTCGCCTTCAGCTCTTTCTCTTTCTCACCACACTCTTTAGTGAGTATGGCTCCTTTGGAGCTCCTTATTGTCCTCGCATCTCTTCTCAAGCTTGGCCTTCTGGAAGTCCATTGAACGAAGGGCAAAATTTCTCCCTACCAAGTACTGATTCGCCTAAATGTTGACCGCTTTTGCCTCTACGTCCAGAGCCGTGAAGTCCTGTTTCAGCTTAGTATTCTCCTCCCTCAGCTCGTGGAATCCTCCAGCAGAGTCCACGTCGATCTTTTGTTGGGCCATGTGTAAGGCAAGTAGGAACTGTATGAGAAAAGAAACAAGAGTTAGCCTCATTTTTTCTGAAAATCATAAAAGTGAGGAAATCAACTGATACTAAAAAGTCCTCGACGAGAACAAACTGTTTTACCCAGTTTTGCAACTGAAGTGCGGTAGCCACCAGGTCCACGGGCCGAGAAGCCATGAACACTCCTCGAAGGCTACAGCCAGTTGGCATTCCAACAAGGTATACACCACCGGTTACAGGTGCTCCGACAGTTGCCCCATGGAATCTAGCACAGGCGAGTCTGATCCTAGAGGAACAAGCACCTCGTCGACCCGTTGCTTGCCCGCTCTCCTTTGGGAAACTGTGACCTCCCTCTCTCCTCTGAGTGAGCTCTCGGGGATCGTCAAAGTGCTAGGGGCACCCCCAGGCTGCGATCCCTCCAACTTGGACTCGAACTTGAACTCCTCCTTGGTAAGTAGCAGCTTCCTCTTCTTGGTCTTCTGGCCCATGGTTTTCTGCTTCACGGCATAAGTAGCCATGAGCCAAGAAGTTTCTCCATGTCGCTCCGTGGATGTTTGCCTTTCGGCACCAATCTGTATCCCTTAGTCACCTCGGCTGGCTCAGTCGGGTGAACCCGCAAAAATAAGAACCCCCTAGTCCTCATCGATGGCTTTAGAACCCTAGGTGGCATGGTCGCTATGTGCCATGGAAACATGTTAGCGAAAAGGTCACCTCTGCAAATAAAAAAAGGGTCCTAAATGTGAAGATAATTACGGGCTGGGGGTTCCAAGTATACTTCCGGGTTGAAAAAAACCGTACTTTCACAAGTTGGCTGTAGTCACAAGCAATCTTGCATCGCGACTTTATTCGGGTAGACTACCAAACGTCACAATGTCGTTAAAGTCTATCAGAGCCGTCAACCTGGTCGTCTTATTTTCTACAAAGAAACAAAAAGTTCGTTAATTTCACCTATCGAAGAGGAGCTGAAGAAAAAGGTGCAGTTCGCAAATCAAAGGAAAGGAAAACCTACTCGGCTCCCTAGATTAACAAACACCATCGTATGCAAAAAAGAAAAAGTTGGTCTCATAAGCCTTGATATTACTAGGGTAACCAAATATTCCTCTCTCGATCAAAGATCGCTTCAAGAGGTAAAAAGAGTCTTTATCTTTACTCTTCTTCAAATAGTAAACGCATGCGAGTTCCAGCGCTGTCAGCTCGCCAAGAGCATTTTCGCCACATGTGATATACATAGCAACTGCTATCATATATGCATTAGGCATCAATTGTAATGGCGTGACCTCAAAATGGTCGAGGATCGATCTAATGAAGGGGTGAAAAGGTATCAATGCCCCACACTTAAAGATCGCCTTGGAGATCGCGGCCATTCCCTCTAGGGGATTCCGAGCTGTGTACGTCCTATGCTGGTAGACATCTACGCTAAGCACGAACTAGTCCACCGCTTTCTGTATCTCGTCCCAGGTGGCCATTGATAATGTCTCCTACACGGGACCCGCTGAGGTGCTTGTCGCTTGCGAGCTCATCCCCTCAACTGCCCTGGTCTCTGAAGTGTCCATTGCTGCTAAACTCTGAAAAAGGGGTGACATGCAGAGATGACTCAGTCTCCTTACACTGTCCTATACGATGACATGGAAGAGCAAAAGAAACAAAATTTACCTTCCTTAACCCCTAAAAACCCTTAAGAATGAATTCCCAAGAATCTGTGCCCCAAGTTTTCACTTTTTTTTAGGTTTTCTCTTTTTACCACTGTCCAAAAACATTCATCGTGTAGGTTTACCAGGTAGTTCATACCCACCATTACTATAAAGTCAAGCTTTTAACAAGAATAAAAGAGGAAAATGAAAAAAAGTCCTCCTTACCTCTTGATTGCTAGGGACGAACTTCTTATCGTAACGACGAGTGCGCATCAATTGGAAGAAGAGCATACTGATTTCACAAGTGCAAGAGCTTTGCTTTTCTCTCTGAAAATGTGAGTTCTGTGATAAAACTTGAGGCAAACCTGAGGTTTTATAGGGGGAAAGACGACCATTAGTTTCTCTAGCAAGCGAAGCTTGGGTAGGATACGTTTCTCGCCATTGATCACAACCACATGTCGTTAATCCACGTGAAGAGTAACCTTCACACTTCGTGGACGTCAATTGACGTTTCCCTCCATTGGAGTAACCAAGCATCGACGCGGTTATCTCCTCCACATTAAATGCGCCCTCATCCGCATTTAATGCTCTGAAAGGGAATGCGTTTTAGCATGGCTTGCATTTAATGCGCATGGTTGGCACTTATTGTGCAAGAGACGTCTGTCAGAATAAAGTTTACTTTATTGACCAGACCAACTGTCAAGCGCAATGGAAAACATCTGAAGAGGTCGTTTGAGTAAAACACTCTTCTCCATGTATCAATTTCGAGACGATGTGACCCCTTGTTTTCGAAAAAAATATGCTAAGTATTTTCAGGTCGTGAGCAACAGATGAAGTCCAAAGCATGTTGGTATAGCACTGAGCAGGGTCCGACCCAAGTCGCTGAACCTGTGGGGGAAGGTCGCCTCAAGTCGCTTGTGCTATTCTTAGATACCTATGTTGTGACCTCCTTATAGCTCATTGGTCGGGTTGAACCACTAGTTTCACATCATCTTAATTGCTTGTCTCATACAACTCGATCAAGCATCACTCAGGATAAGTCAGGTCATGGCATAATCATGAAGTTCTCAAGGTTCAATCTTTAAACCTTGAGAATTGGGGGGCTTCAATTATGCCTAAAAATTCAGGGCTGACATAAGCTCATGACAGCAAGGGCCAATCAGAGTTCAAGAAGGCTTTATGTCGTCCAAACGCTGCCACGTCGCACGAGGACGGAAGAAGTAAGGTTGTCTTCAACATGGTAGGTGAAAGCTTAGCTTGTGAGTGGTTAGGAATTGTCCACCTGCCTAAGCCTACGCGATTTAAAGATATCTCCTATACAGTCAGCCAATGGGAAGCAAGGTAGAAATTGTACCACACCTACCCGACTGCAAAATCATAATTATTACTTTGAATCCCTCGACTATAAATAGAGGGCTCCTCTCTCATTTACGGGATTCGGGCATTTTTGGTTTTCTAAAAGTAGACTCTCTCTCTCTCTCTCTCTCTGTATTTGAATTCTCTCTAGATTGTAACTCAGCTCGCTGCCCGCGACCTGACTGTAATCATCCATCAATACAAATATAGTGGACATAGAATTCGCTTTTGAGCATCCAAACCATTTTAAAAATTGTCTCTTGTTTATTCTTTCGTTGCACATTTCCATATTAGGTGTAATTTTTAAGTCCGCTTAGTACTTTACACGTGCGAGTCGTTTGTGTCAAAATCAAGTATCAACAATATCTTTTAGTTTAAAATATACCTAGCATAATTAAAATCATTTCGTGGTTTTAATTGTTGCAACGGAGAAACCATTTGAATAGCCCATAGTTTTGGACGAAAAGGTAAGGCCATGGACAAAAGAAATAATAATAAATCCAACCATTAAGTTTAGGCGGTTTGCCTTGCTGTTGAAGCTTCCAAACTAATGTCGTTGAAATTGAAGAAATTTGAGGGGCATTGTTGTCCGGTTCTCAAGACGTTTTGATTCCATCAAATATTAACCAAACAATGGACATGTGATAGGTTGGAGCATTGTTGAGGAGTGTACAAATTTGGCTTTCATGTAATGCTTTACAAAATGTCAAATACTTACAAATTAAGATTACTCCGCATTTGGTACCAGATGGGCATTGCAATTTCAATTCCAGCTTTTTGAACAATTATTAGTCTTTGCAAGGAATCTCTGATGACACCAATTAAAATCAAATTATAGGATTAGTTTATCAAAAATAACAATCACAGTCAAATTCAACAATAACTCACAAATTAAAAACAGCATCCATGATAGACCCGTGACCCAACTGCCAATGACTTGTAACACCCCTCAATTGAGAACCAATCAAAACTAACTAAAATCTCATTTTACTTTTTGGTTAAACAAATTTTGAGTTTTTTTCTCTTCTTTTAACAATAACAACAAAGAATATTCTGATACCGACTTAAGGATTCCACACACCAGAAACTTGTCGATCCAACACGTGATAAGCACGTGCACAACTTACCATATTAATTTGTGGCCCACTTTCGCTTTCTCACCATCCTTTCCTTTCCTTTCCTGTAATATTAGCACACTCACAACAGACCTGCTTGAAATTTCTCCGGACACCGGTTATAATCTCAGCCCTTTCCCAAAGCCCACGATCTCTCACCTAATTTAGCTTCACATTATTATTTTCCATCTCTCCTCTCCTTCTCTCTCTCTTTTCTTCTACAAAATTTATTCATAAATCATACTCACGTCGGGACGGGACATTTCTCGGCCAATTTGTTGGTTGGTAAGGTTTTTTTTTTTTTTTTTTTTTTTTTTAATTTTGTTTTATTTAAATCTCTTTCATTTGTTTATATTTAACAAATGAGATTTATGTGACTAAACTTGATTTTTCTTTTTTAATTTTTTTTTCTAAGTTTGAGTAGCTACTTTTTATAGAGATTTTTTTTTTTTTTTTTTTTCCTGATATTTCTGGGTAAAATATAAGGATATAAAATGTGTGGTTTTAGGGATTTCGTGGTTTATGCATGTTTATTTTCTGCATTTATTTTTCCCAGTTTTCCTTCTTTTGTTTTTCCTCCCTTTTGTTTCTTGAGAAACTGGAGGAAAAACAAAAGAAAATTTTTAATCTTGTTTTTATCATTCTTTCTTTTTCAATGTTAATTTCTTAATCGTAAAGCGTCTTGTGGAAGGAAAAATGGAGTCATACAATCAATATTTAACAAATTTATTTGTTTTCGTTTCAACCTTCATGAATTTCCAGTTACTATATTATCCAATTTAGTCAACCGTTCTGGTATATTTAAATTCTGACTGATGGTCGTTTTCAAAATATATTTCCTGTGATTGTTTTTTTTACTTTTTTAATAACTTTTTTTTTCATACGGATTGGGGTTTATTTATTTAGCATACTAATGATCAGAATCTGGGCGTGCAGAGATGAAGATGGTTTTGGAAACGATGATTTGCTGTTGAAGAAGTGCAGTGTATTCGGCTTCTTTCTTGTTCTTTTGGTTATCGCTTGTTGGAAATGGGCTGTTTTCATTCTAAAGTTGCTAGACAGCCCCCTGGACATGAAGACCCTGTAGTTCTCGCCTCACAAACTGCTTGTAAGTCATGGAGATGAGATTTTTTTTGTTTTCATTAGCTATTGTTTTCAGTTTCTACGAGTAACGGTTCCATGCTTCTTTGATTGGTACTAGTTATGAAATCCAAAAAAAAAAAAAAAAAAATCTGAAATATTATCATCATAAACCTAAACTGTTTATATCTTGGAAGTTGAGGGTCCTGATTTGTTCTGTGTTTTATATTTTGAGTTTTGATGTATAACGTGTTTTTTTGTTTACTTAACATATTGATTTATTATTGAAGAAAAAATAATAATTCTGATGATGAGTGTGAGTATTTTACCGGTACCCAGGCTTGCTGCTATATTGATAGTTTATTTTGACTGCTATATTGGTAGTTTATTTTGAGTTAGAATGAAGAAAGGGTGATTTGTTTTCGAGTTGATATATGATACGGAATGAAGAAAATAATTTTTCAAAGATGGTTATGTTCAAATAGATTCTGTTAACCTCAAGGACTAGGCTTGGGAGTAAAACCCCTTGGTTCCAAGATCAAGGGTTCAAATCCCTTGGGGCCATCTACTTTGGAATATTATGTTTCTTGGTTGTTTAGGTTGTAGGGTCTGAAGTAGTCCCCAGTTTAGAACCCGTTGAAGTTAAATTAATCTGCTCTTTGTGCCCATCTGCTCATGTGCTTTATTTTATGTTAAGTCTATTCATATTAATCTTCTGGCTTTTCTGATCCCCAGTTAGTGTCAGTGAAGTTGAAGCGCTTTTCGAACTATTCAAGATGATCAGCAGTTCTGTGGTTGACGATGGGTTAATAAGCAAGGTATTTTGTGTTTCAGTGCTTGTGGCAAAGGACTTTCTTCATCTCTCTATAGATACATTTACATGTAAACATACATACATCATATATGACAATATGTTAACTCAGTTGGTTGGTATGTAAAGTAAAAAGTGCTATCTCTTTGCTCATTAGTTAAATCTCTTTCTTAGATGGTAATTTAGAACAATTGTCTTCCCTCAACAAACCCCCTAAATCCCCTGGCAACCAAAAAAATAAAAATTTGCACGAATTAATATAGGGGTAAGATCCCGCATATGTAGAATGGATAACATATGTACATCATGGAATACATTGTGTATTAATTTCTTGGTTTAAGTGGCTGGACTGATGATGTCTCTCTCTCTTTTTTCTTTTTATATATATATATATATATATATTTGGATTCACCATAATATAGGCACCTGCTTGTTTACTTACTGTGGCTGTGGGCTCAGTCACAGTGCTTCTCTAGTATTTTGTGTCATAACACCTGACCCTCTACCATTTCATTCCTTACCCTAAAGATAATTGCAAAGTGTCAACCAAGTGCTGTTGACTTTTGCCTTCCTATGGGTTTTTTCTTTTTTAAGACAAAGTATGGTGCTCTTCTAGGAAAAAAGAAAAGAACTTTTTGTTTGCTTACTTGAACAGAAGAGACAAATTTTGAATACATATATATATATATATATATATGAAGATTGTCTCACATCTAGGTGTCATAATTTTCTTTACTTCCGAACCTACAATCGTGAGCTGTTGAAGACACTCTAGTTTTCTTTCTTTAAATCCAAGGCTGAATTTCATTTTAGAATTATAAATTGGAAAAAGTCTGGCAGGTGCCTTTACCATTACTTTGTGCAAGGAGCATCATGAAACACAAGACAAGTATCTCTTTCTTTGTTTCTTTTATACTCTCTAGTCAGTTTTCTTTCTCTTCTGTACCATCCTATAATGTTTTTCCATCTCAAATTTTTTACTTATGTGACCATTATTTGTACTATCTCATTTTAATGAAAAAGATTGTGAGTCATATTTGTCTATATTAGCTTCTAGCGCCACCATGGAGAGAGGGAAAACAAGGTGTGCATTGGTTTCATAGGAACAATATCACAGTGTGTATTTGGATAGTGGCTGGAACTCAAAGTTAGAGAATTTTGTAGCTCTGGTGGAAATTTCAAGATGAGTGAATGACCATATAGATACTCTGGCTAGTAATAATCATGAAATCTTCATCCTCATGTTAGAGTTTGGATAGTATGAAATCTGATATGAGGTTGGTGACTTACAAACACCTCAAAATATATATGGCTGAAAACTGGGTGCAAGATGTGTTGATATGTTTTCTAGAATAAATTTGGGCTTTCTGTAGTCCTCATGAAATTTGTATGGAGCTTTCTAGACTTCCCATGACTTAAGATTTTTATGATCTGTGTATATCTCCTTGATTCGATTTTATATATAACCTTCATTCAGATCCCATGGATTTTAATTTATTCCAGTTAATAAGGGTGTTGATAAGGTGCTACGTGATCACCCTAGATTTCACCAATTCTGCTGAATCTTTAAGGGGGAAAAAAGACCTGTTACCATCCTGATCCTGTTGAGTGTTTAGAGATCATCGTTGAATAGGTTGTATCTCCTTCTAGTCAATCTAGAGCCAACCTTTATATTCTTTTTTTTCACCATGAGAAAATAAAAGAAGCTGCCTTTCTACCATATGGCCTATAAACCACCATAAACATTTTGCTGCTCTTTTTTCAACGCCCACTTATATAAATTGTACTTCCCCAATCCATATCATGGTCCATTAAGTGCACCTTTCCAATAGCTTATCTTGTTTTCTCATCTCACTTCTCTTTTCCTTCACTCTTCTCTTTACGGTTTCTATGTGTCTTCTTTGATTTTGTGATGAAAATAATTGAAGCTTAAAATTAGGCCCAATAATGTAAAGAAATAAAAAAATGAAGACAGTTAATTATTGATACTGAGTTATGATTCTAAGTTCTAAGCAGATACCTGTATCGTTTTTAGAATTTTAGATGTTTGACATTTGATACTATTTTATTTTTTTATTTATTTTTGTGCATATGCAGGAAGAATTTCAGTTGGCTCTCTTCAAGAACCGAAAGAAAGAGAATCTCTTCGCCAACAGGGTATCTGTGTAAACCTGCATTATATGCTTTATTCATATCAGCTAACCAATTTGTTGTATTACTTCTGAGATTCTGACATGCATTAAATTTCTGTGCAGATCTTTGATCTGTTTGATGTCAAGCACAAGGGAGTCATCGATTTTGGTGACTTTGTTAGATCCCTCAATGTATTTCATCCAAATGCTCCTCAAGAAGACAAGATCAATTGTAAGTTGACTGGATGTGATATGTTGACTTAGTGTTGTGTCCATCCCTCATTTTCCATTGTAATTTGTGACTGTATGTAATATCTGGAATCTTTGTGCAGTTGCATTCAAGCTTTATGATCTTGATAGTACTGGATTTATTGAGCGCCAAGAGGTATGTTGGACGTTATTCTTTTCATGTGCTCTGTCAAAGCAGTTCTTTTGGGACCCACTTTATGCTTTTTTGTCAAAAGTCATTTTACCTGGCTTGAGAATAAGATAATTACTAATATTCCTGTTCCGACGGGGAGCTTTCATTGTGAGTGTGTTCAAAACCATGATGGTGGGAATTTTCAACCACTCTACCAATGTACTAGAAATTTTAGCTCATATCCAGGGCATTGGTATTATTTTCCATGAGTTTAGCAATTAAAGTGGAAATTAGAAACATGAATATGAGTCTTCCCCTAGTACCATAAATGGAGGTTCTTCTACAAATATAAGATTGTCATTGTTACATGGTCAAGTCCTGTACTATTTTATTGAAGCATTGGATCTTTGAGTTTTCATATGACTCATTCTTCCCTGTTTTTTAACTTATGATGATTGGTGGGCACTTTGCTAGGAAAGCTTCTTCTGTATCATATCAAAATGTGTTCCATCCCTGAGCTTAATAAGCCTTTCCTTGTACTTATCAGCTTAAATTTTGTCTTGTACTTATCAGCTTAAACTTTGTCTAATAAGTGGTGAAGAAATAAAAAAGTTGCAGTTTGTATTCTAGATATCTTCGTTGATTCAGTTGTGCTTTATTTAATCATCTTTGCAGGCAACTTCATTATATGTGATTTTGGCAGGTCAAGCAAATGCTGATTGCACTTCTGTGTGAATCTGAAATGAAATTGGCTGATGAAACCATTGAGATCATACTTGATAAGGTGAGCTAATGCCATTGGATTTTAACTTACCTTGCCTTTTTCTTGGCTAACCTCAGTGTTACTAGGATTTTATTTTTCTCCGAACTTAGCTGCAGTATTAGCTTCTTTGAAAACCCTATGAACCAAATACTTTCCCAACGCCATCCCGACACTGAATTGGAGTTATACTATTATTAGTTCTTGATCTTTCTAGCATCTCTAGGAGTAATTAAAAAAATTGATCAGATGAACATTATTTGCTTTTTGCTCAATCATTAGATTCTGTTCAAAAAACTGATTTGAATTTGTGGATGTGTGACGTAAGTATAGGAAGATGTGTTGTTGAGGCAATAATTCTTTTCCAGTCATATTATTAATTTATTTCTTGCTTTTTGCATGTTTGAATTCGTGTTGATAGACTTTCATGGAAGCTGATGTGGACCAGGATGGCAAAATAGATAAATCTGAATGGCAAAATTTCGTTTCCAAAAACCCATCATTGTTAAAGATCATGACCCTTCCGTATTTGAGGTAAGTAATCGTGTAGGTTGTGTGTAATCTTTTGTTTTAGTAATCTCAGTGAAAACCCATCATTGTTAAAGATCATGACCCTTCCGTATTTGAGGTAAGTAATCGTGTAGGTTGTGTGTAATCTTTTGTTTTAGTAATCTCAGTTGCTTCCGACTGATATCACCTTTCCATAATGTAAATGCAGGGATATTACAACGACTTTTCCAAGTTTTGTTTTTAATTCAGAAGTTGATGAGATTGCTACGTAATTGAAACAGGAATTAGCATAGAAAATTTGTGTGTTATCCTCCTGTATTTGATTTTTGAAATTGAAGGGAACAGTGCTTTGATGCGTGACTGAGTACATACTTAGTTGAGTACTCAGTTAAAATTTGAAGCTTTGTGATGGAAGCAATATATTATTTGTGTAGTTATTTCCCAAATGTTAAAAGGTGTAGGTTTAGATTGATTTGATTATTTTCTTTTTTCTTCGTTTATTTCTGGTGCATTAATTTGAAATACGAAGTGATTCAAAGGATGTTGTATAAAATGTAGATGTGTGTCATCCCATAAATAGTATTCATTTAGTACACTCTTTGACACAGTTATTTTCAGCCCAATTTGTACTGGACTTGAACAGTTTTAATAGCTCCAATTGGTTGGCTTAGAGTGTTTTAATTTAATTCCTACTAAATTGTTAAATTTGTTCCAAATTATCTAATTTATTCATAAATTACTTAAATTATCTTGAAATTTATTTTAATTTTATAAATCACCTAAATAATCCTGAAATGTATTTTGATTTAATTTTACAAGTCCTTTTATGTCGAATATTGTTATTAATCTATTGTAAGTTTTCAATCTTTTGAATCTCAATGCAATTTAACAATTATAGATCAAGTAACCAATTGATTTCCAAGTTGGTGGCCTTTGCTAATTGAAATATCTATTGGTATAAGGGAATGCTCTATGGTAGCGTTTGGTTCGGGGTAATAAAAGAAAACTTCGGTAATCTATCTTTTAATTTGGCCATTATCAGGTTTAGTTGTCAAGTAGTAAAATATCTTATAATCTTTCAATACTAATAGTTATTATTATAGGTAATATGAGGGGTAATCCGATTATTGACTAACAGAGTGTTATTTTTTTATTATCAGTGTAATCTACTGTCCATACCAATTTTACCCTTAATTAATAAACATTTTGAACATAAATGTCCTCATTTGTCTACCAAATAATAATTAACTCAAATGTGTAAAATGACTTTTGTAATCTCATAAATTTTTTTTTGACAAAAATGCCCACCCAAAATATCCCCAACCACCCAAAACGACTGCTGTCTGTCAGCCGCCATTGTCAGCTGCTGTCAACAATCATTGAAATAGTGCACGATCGATTGGATCTGGCCAACTATGTATCGATTTGGTTGGAAACGACGATCCAGCTAGATTGACACAGTCAATCAAAGATCTGATCGGTCGTGTGTCGTTCCAGCGACTGTCGATGGTAGTCGGCAGTGGTGGCCGACGGTCGGTAGACGTCTTAGGTGGCTGAGGGTATTTTGTTAAATTTTAAACTTTTATTGTGGTTGGGATCTTTTAACTAAATTCTCAAATGTAAAAGTTAAAACTTAAAAGTAATACTCTAAATAATAATAATAATATTAATAATATTATTATTAAAAAGTACAATTCAATAAAAGCCTTTCCGATATTATTTTATTCCTCCCAACCAAACATATTAATTATTTATGTCCATAAATGTAACTAAAGCACATTAATATAACATTTATCATTAATCTTCAAGGTAATATATTTTTTCATTAATATAACATTCAGTAATACAATATTCTATGAACCAAATGTTACCTATAAATTACTAAAATTATTGGTTAATTTCTTTTGCTAATTTTATGAAATTTGTGTTAAAGTCCCAGTAGTTATGGGTTAATCCCTTTTGATAATTTTATGAATTAGTTAAATTATCCTGAAATATGGGATTTACCTACAAATTGTATGAGGCTTGAACACCACTTTTTTTGAAAATGAGTAACGCTACGCCCACAACCCAATCTCACACACTTCTCTTACAACCCCAATGTGTCAGCTGAGTTGGCATTGTCATGTCAACTCCGCCACACGCAAGACACAAAATGATTTTGACTAGACCTCAAAAGCAGTCGTTCCTTCTTAGGGAATGATCGTTCCTTAAGAAGGAATAGGGAATAGTTGTTTCTCGGCAAAGGAATGGTTGTTCCTTTATGAAGGAATATCCATTCTTTATAGACGAATGACCGTTCCTTTTATAAGGAACGACCATTTGTCTCTAAGAAACAATCGTTTGTGTTTAGTCAAAGTCACTTAGTGTCTTTGGGTATGGTGGGAGTTGACTTGACAATGCTAACTCAACTGTCACATTGGGGTTGTAAGAGAAGGTTATGTGATTGAGTTGTAGACGTAGTATTATTGTTTGAAAATAATGACATGTACAAGTGGGTTGTCATAGGTACAAGTCCAACCATGAGTCCAAGTCAGTTGTCATAGGTTCAAGTCCAACCATGAGTCTATTAGCATTGGTTAGGTTAGACATGGATGGAGTATTTTGGGTTGATATGGTTAGACTTGCAAGCTCGGTATTGTAATTTTTAGTTTTCCAATTAAAATTGATTACAGTAAGTATATATAATATTTAACAAACAATATAATTATTTTATAGAATGTTTGAGTGAGAAATTGTGACTCGGTAGAGAGCTGGGGATATAAGTGATTTTTCCCCATTATTAATTACTATACACATTTTTTATAAACCTATTGAAGATTAACGCAAGTTTAAAAACACACTAAACGGGACAATATATATATAATTGAAAAATAAATCTAATTATAATTATAATAATTGAATAATAAAAAATTTAAAAAAGTAGGCAGTGTCTATTAAGTAGTACTGTACTAGTTTATTTCATTGGAATATTAGTTTAAGCCAATTATATATTTAATATTTTCTCATTAAATTTCACGGTAATGAACGGTGTTCTGTTATTTTTTAGTGCTATTTCAATTGATGTTAAATTAAATGAGATAAGAGCACAAAATTGAAAATTAAAATATTTTGCCAAGTAAAAAAATATATATATATTGTTGATACAGAAATCTAACCAACCAGCGAGATCCAATCGACATTGTCGAGATCGGAACTGATGTGTGCATGATTACGGGTAATTAATGATGAATGAATGATAATGCCAGAAAGTAAATGACAAAGAGAACTTTTAAAGTGGTTTGGCGAAGTTAAACTGCCTAAATCCACTGTGTTTTGTGCATATGCTGTGAGAGCTTACAATATAATTGTAATCCAGAATATGTATCCCCCTCCTCATCATTTTAGGGGGTATATATACAAGATTTACATAAAGGAAATAGCAAAATTAAAGGGATTACAAATTATTTGAATCACAATTCCGATATCCTTGTGATTGAGCGCTATGATCGCACAACAATAACTGTTGATCTAGTCATTCATGCGATATCCGAGATCTGAAGTAATCTGGGGATTGATTGATTAATTCCTGGGATTGTCCATGACTAGCTTGTGCTGGGTCGAGCTACGACTCGACGAGCTTATGTTGGGTCGATCAATCATAGTCACCGAGGTCATTCTAGGCCAAGCTATATCCTTGCGTTGGCCCGAGCTTGGTGGAAAAACCACACAGAACATCTGCTCCCTAGTGTTCGATGCTAGTTTCGGGCTTTAAAGACTATCGCTCGATTTGATGCCAAGCTCAGCTTCAATAGTGAGTCTTTGAGTGCATGCTCGATCAAGCTTCCACAACCGACCTTATGTCTGGTTGACATTCTTCACACTTGGACATTATTACCTATGCCACCTGTCAAAACTCATAATACAAAAAGTCAAGGTATAAATATAATTTTCGCGTGGTCGTGTCACATTAAATGCGGCAACCTTTGTCAATTATGTTTCGTCGCGCTTGGGCGATAACAACTGTTCACGCAAGAAGTCAAGGCGTCGTGCGGCGATGGTTATCATTTCCAATGGTTCGTCGCACCTCATGGATGGTCGACATGTGGCCACATCCAAGGGTTGAGATCGCTTAACGAATGAAGGGCTAGGATCAGTTGTGAGTCGATGGTCGAGATTGAACTTCGCCTTTTTGTCTTACATTCAAAAATCACTATAAAAGGTGGCGAATACTCAAAACAATCATTCTGAATGTTCTTCCACCCTCTTGCTTTTCTTTGTCGTTGCTCTTACATCGTTGCAGTGGTCTTTCTTACGAGTTCTCAGTGCGCTTCTTTATTCCGGTAAGACTTCTTTCTCTTCCTTGCTCATTTTTCTGACTTTTGTGCTAAAGGGTGGCTGTTGTAGTGGCCACATTAGATGTTATAAGATTTTAGTAGGGTTTTGGGGTACGTTTCCTACGATATTGGCTTTTAAAAGGGTTTCATCGCGGTGGCCGCTGGTGTCCTGGGTAGGTCGCATGACCTCATTGTGTTGCGCGAGCTATTTTGGGTGCCTCAGACGGAAGCGAACGTGGAATGGTCATCGAGTTTTTCAAGCTCTAACACATGTTTGCTTCTTTTTTCAGGTACCCAAAGTCAAGTTACAACCATGTCCTCGTCTAGCAATCGCACAATAGATCAAATGTTCAACTCATCGGTTGGCTCGACTATACTAAGAGACGTGTCCCCCGAGATATTTGAAGAGTTTATTGCTAGAAGCTCGAACCCCAACTCTGCAGGCTTGTTCAACCGTGCTTCGATCCAACTGGCTCATTCCCCGTCGTCTCCAGCTCACAGGCTACGAAAAGAGCCACAATCCTCGGGGATCTTGAAGGTATTTGGGCGAGCTATACGCCGCAGCTCAACTTGATGGCTCCAGGAGAACACTCTCGGAAGAACCCTCTAGCTGGATGGTGACAACTTTCGAGACTCTTCTCAAGTGCGGGGTATCCATTCCCCTACAACCTTTCATCGTAAAGTGTTGAGGAGATTCGACATTGCTCCTCTCCAACTAACAACCAATTCTTACTCGATCATTACCGGGGTATACATCGCGTACATGATCGCTAAGCTAGACGAGCTGTCCGTTGAAGAGCTTGTACACTTGTACAGGTTCAAAAAGGGGCAAGGTCAGACGTACTACCTTTCCAAGGCGAGGAAAGTACGTTTCAACGGGCTGATTGATGTCCTGAAGAAGGTCCCACACTGGGATTCTCAATTCTTCTTCTACGAAGCCGGGACGAGCGATGTCTTTGCTCTAGAAATGAGTAAGGCTTTAGTCGCTCACGTATGCGAGGACAAATTTCGAGCTTTGCTTCATTATCTAACCAAATTACTTTCTATTGCAGTTAACGTCGAGCAGAACTATCTCCCCATGGTGAGCTTGCAAAGGCTGCAGCGTTCCAGCGATCTTCCTGACAATTAGCACAACGTCCACGAGCTTCTTACGCTTCCTCACCTAAAGGCATACAACATTTGTAGGGACGAGGCTAAATTTTTAGCGCTTTTGGAAAAAGGTAAGTTGTTGCTTGCTTGCGTTTGATTTCCCACGCAAATTGATCACTAACTCGTTTCCCTTTTTCCTTGCAGAAATGTGGGCTGAAAAACCTA